ATTGTTGCCTTGATCTTTGATGCTGGTCTCTAGATTCCTTCCACGCTAAAGCTCGCCGACCTTCTGTATGATATTTATGTACTCTCTAAGGCTTGAACTACTTGAGTTAACAAGTTCAAATCTTACTGGGGTTCCACTTTTGAATGCTTCGTAACCTGCAAACTAGGGATTATTCTTTCTCAAATTAGTGTGTTAATTCGCCAAAATTGAGCAAATAACAAGCCTTAAAGGGAGAAAGGAGTAGAGAAGGAAGAAAACTAGCTAAGGCAATGAGGAATCCACGTGAAGCTCTATTAACTCGAAGTTCTCAAACCAAAAGTAACAAATCTGCCCTAGAATCCTTCAGTAACAAGTATTTAAGCAAACTCAAAACCCCAAAAACCCCTATAGAATAGTAGCTATACATTCTATTTAATTTTAGCCATCAGTTGTTACTTTCAAATAAATGAATAATCCTGCCGTTAACAAAATAAAAAATAACAACTAAAATAAAACATAAAAGCCCAAAATAATTTCCTTAATTACATTATTTTGCCCCTTTTATCCCCTCATGGTCCTACACCCTTTCCTCGCCCAACCATGACCATTGGTTGATGTTGGGGCATAGCTGTATCAGTTTTTTCTCTCTTAAACCTTCACAAGAGGTTTTCGGGTGTTAGAATATCCGCCAAACCCTTTTCTCTTTTAGGTGGAAAATAACTTAAAATACTTTTTCTTGAGAGCCTTTTTTTTCTCTTAGGCAGGGGTGTCGAGGCAGCAAATGTGGCCCTTAATTTGGGCCAGAGGTGTTATGAGGCTGCCTAGGCATCCTTGGCCACCTAGGTGGGTGCTTGGCTGTGATCTCCTATCCTTCCCCTGCTCCCAGGTGGGGCATCTAGGGACTTGGCTGGTCTTAAAGAGCCAACTAACGTCAAAGTGGACATTACTTAAAGGGCTAGATCTACGCGTGCACCAAATGTATGACTTGCATCATTGTTGGGGTGGAACTCATTTTGGACCTTCTCTGAGGTGCAAATTCTTTTCTCGTTTTATATTTATTTTCGGGATGAAGAAAGTGTATATGCAAAATTTGGGGGTCATACAAATACTCCTAATATAGTTTTTGAATGAATGAGATGTTTTGTTATATTACTAAAGCATTGTATGAAATTATTTTTCATTATATATAAATAGTGATAAATAATTGTCGAGTTGGCTTAGGGTCGTCGGGGTACTAGGTGATTTTCCCCCGGATTGAGGTGAGTCATTGGGTACCCGCTTTTGATGTGAAAAACAAGTACAAAAGTTTTATTTTCACTTGTTTTTCCAACCACCCATGTTGATTGATTTGGCCACAAGTCAATCCCTCTTAGCCCCAAAAGATTATCCTTCGAATCAAACTTTGCATTCTAGACAAGATTTTCATTAAATTGTTACCATTTTTAAGCCCTAAAACGTAATCGGTTTTGTTGCAATCTCTTCCTCATTTATTATCCAAATCATCCACAATTTGACTCAAAATGTGGTACTAGTGCCCTCTTTCTTACAAACCCCCATAACAATTTGATGGATTAAAGAGCAAAAAGAGTTGGAATTGAGAGTTCTATCTGGGTTTTTTTGAACCTGAAATATAAAATCTTCAATTTCTTTCTACGTTTGTTTCCAAATCTGTTCAAAATTCTCCTAAAATATTCCTTACACGTTGACCTACAAAGGCTCTAGAAAATTTTTGAAGTAAAAATAAAACTTTGAGATTAATTAAATTTATTTTTCTTTATTTTTGGTTTTCAATGATTAAATTTATTTTTCTTTATTTTTACTATTTTCTCTATTTTCAGTTGGGTGATCGGTTTGAACCACCCATTTTATATATATATATATATATAAAGCACTAAACAAATAGTAAGTAAAGCTAAGAGCAAGAGAAGATGAAAAGATGTCTTCAAATTGGCAAAAATAAGAGAGAAAAAGTACAGGGATTTAAACCATATTAAATGCATTAAGAGTGAGGATAAAAAAGTCTTGGTGAAAGATGATGAGGCTAATGAAAAGTGGAAAGTTTATTTTAAAAAAGTATTAGATGATGAACACAATGGGAGAATAGTGGTAAAAGGAACTGGTGGTACAAATGAGGGTGGAGGTCATAGATACATTCGCAGGATTAAGATGTCTGAAGTGAAAGAAGCTTTGAAATGGATGAAGATAGGAAAGGCTTTAGGGTCGGATGGTATGCTGATAGAGATTTAGAAGTGCATGAGAGAGAGTGGCATTGACTAGCTGATGAAGTTGTTCAACAAGGTGGTGATAACAAAAAAATGCCAGACGATTGGAGGAAAGTATTATGGTACCTATTTACAAGAACAAATGAGACATACAAAATTGTGTGAACTATCGAGGGATCAAGCTTATAAGCCATACTATGAAGCTCTGAGAGAGATGATTGAGCAATTACGGCATGAAATGAGTGCTCTGGAATCCAAAGGTTTTAAACTTAGTCCGATTGAGATAGAGTATATGGAGTGTAAATTTAGTAATAATACAAATAGAGACAAGGAAGTAGTTAAGATTGACAGCCAGGAAGTACAAAAAAGACTGCACTTTCGATATCTTGGGTCAATAATTCAGGAAAATGGAGAGATTGAGGAAGATGTTGCACATAGAATTAGAGCTGGATGGGCGAAGTGGAGATGTGCAACTCGAATTTTATCTGATCGTCGCATACCAAAGAAGCTGAAGGGCAAGTTCTATAGGACAACTGTGAGACTAACTTTGCTCTATAGGGCTGAATGTTGGGTAGAGAAAAAACAATATGCCCATAGAATGAGTGTA